TAGGAACAAGTGCATCGCTACTAGGAGCAAGGGCCTTACTAGTAGTAACAAGAAGCTATTAGAAACAATAAGCTACTAGGAACAAGTGCATCGCTACTAGGAGCAAGGGCCTTACTAGTGGTAACAAGAAGCTAATAGAAACAATAAGCTACTAGGAACAAGTGCATCACTACTAGGAGCAAGGGCCTTACTAGTAGTAACAAGAAGCTATTAGAAACAAAGCAAAAAAATCCTCCAGTCTCCACAAGTCCCATTTGTTCCCCACCTCCGTCAGAACGACCTCAGGCTGTGAGAGCCCGAAGGTCAAGACCGCCACATGTGTGTCTAAGATGGCATCATGCTCTGCAGTAAAGGAGGCTGTGACATCGCCAGTCCCCAGCAAGTTGAATCTGAAGGTTTGTTCTGTTGACTGTGCATCCACCTGTAGCAAGCGGTTCGTGAGAAGCTGCAACTGATCACAGAAGGCATGTTGAGATGGAAGGCTTGCAAGCTCCAGAATACTCTCCGGGATCTTTCCCAAAACATGTTGGCAAAGAACTTCCATCTTCTCGCTTAGGACCAGGATCTCAAAGCTTGGAACCTCGAAAGCGGCAAAGCAAGCGCTGGGACCGTTTCCCCACTCCGGCCGCTCCGGCCGCTCCGTGACGGGCACCACTTCGTCCATTTGGAGCTCGCGGAGCCCCACCAAGAAACACCTTTGATCTGCCAGATTCTTGAACTGAGCGTGAAAAAGCTCCACCTTCACACGAGTTTGGTCTGAATCTAACATGTCAGCATTCAACGCAGTCACCGAGGTACTTTCGGACAAAATGGAGCGTCGAAACTGCTGCTTGATGCGTTCCTGGTCGTCCCATGGGAAGAACTCCAGCAAGCACCGTCCCTTAAGACCGGTGCCGTTGATCGGCGCACTGTGCAGCAACATGGTGGCCAGCTGTCGAGAATGCTCGGTGAGCGTTAAGGTCTCATCCACCTCCAGAACGGCATCGTAGCAGGCGGTCAGAAGGGAAGAGACGGCACCCATCTCCACAGTCCTCATTTGCAAGCCATGTTTTAGGACTGCGTTCTCCTCCAACAAGCGCCGGGCAATGCAAACCCCAGGAAGATGGTCAAATAAACGCCCAGAATCACTGGGACGAGGCTGTGGTCCTCAAAGGATTCGCCGTTCGTCGTGTTCTCCCGCTGTAGCCAGGCCATGTTAAGGGTTTGGATTAGGCTGACCAGAGTAAACAAGACGAAGAGCCAACTCCGCCTCACCAAGACAGCGAAGAGAAAACGTCCCGCCAGGGTGAGAGCCATCATATCTCTGACATCGACATGTCGCGCGGGTATTAGACTGAGATTGAAGATGGTGGCCGTGACGACATACCACACATCCAGGGATCTGGGAGTGATGGCACAAGGCTTGCAATTCACCAGGAGCCCCGCTCCAGCAATGAAGAAAAATGTCCAGTCAAACTCTGGAAACAGGCGTGGTTGTCCCCGGAGAGTCAGAACCTGACTCATCACTAAGCGGCCCAGCGCAAAGACAGAGAAGAGACTCCAGATTCGACTGGTCACACTACAGCGCCACCGGTCTAGTTCCACTGAGGTTTGCTGGTCCATCTGTCCTTCGACCTTGAACCACCTGAGAAGCTGGCTCATTCGAGGTAAAGGGAAGACATGAAAGAGGTTCTTCTGGGACTTGACAAAGGAAACCGTCCAAATGATGAGTCGAAGCAAGGCCGCAGCTTCCATGACCAGGGCCCCTGCATGAAAGATTAGCTCAGTATCCATGGCGGAATAAAACAGGTGCTGGACTTTGCTGCACTTTTTGCACGACGACTTTCAAAGCGCAAAGGCTCGAGATATCGGCGTGTTCTGTTTTGGGGAACTGCTTGAATCTCAGTGTCTGAACACGCGGTGTGGAGCTTGGACAAGTGAAAAATGGTGCAAAACGTTTGTTGGGCTCTGGTCTGAGCAGATCTTGCTGGGATCCGATACAACTGACATGTTCGGCTCGGCCGACATAGAAAACCCACCTTGAGACACACCCTGTGTTTCGTTCAGCATCCTACTCAGAATGCTAGTGTTAGTTCAGCAGGAGCTAGGTTGACTGCAAACATGAAGAACAATTTATGTCAATTTACAGCAACTTGAGAGCGTTGATCTCAAGGACTGGTGTGCCTTCATCTTTAACTCATGTCACAGGAAGTCGTTTCAGGTCAAAACCTGAGGCTCTTTCCCCTCAAAACGGCAGATCTCCATGTTCCGAAAGCGAGGTCCGCACCCGCAGCACTTCGCACCCCGATGCACCTCATGTCCTTGAAGCGGAGCCGGTAGCAATGCAAGAAGAGCCGAGGGCACCAAGCACGATCCTCGAGACGCGTGGCAGTCGACAGCGTTGCGCTCCCTGCGTGCGTTGACCTGTTGAGATTGATGTGCAAGTTGAAAGGAAATAACATGTTCATGCTGAGTTGTAGTATCTGCATCAACAAGGTGCCGCTTTCGAGAAATGTCAAGTACTTTCACAGCAAACCAAGTGACTGCCCTCAGCGGGTCTTCTGAGACCATTTTCCGGGAGTTTCCAGTTTTCTTCCAGCTATGAGGTTTTGGAAGCTAAGGAATCGAAAAACATATCAAACAATTGTATACACAATGTATACAGTACAATTCTACTGTATCTAGATTCTAGGTTGAAGGAAACATGCCCGGATGAGCGACTCCATCACTCCATTTTGCATGTCGCCCCAAATACCGCGGGCGCCTCTTCGAGTGTCTCGGAGGCATATTTGTCGTCCGAGACCAGCGGATGGCCCAAGTGCTGCCTCGTTGGGCCCAATGAAGCGGAGAACAAAACAGGTCAACTGTGTTTTCTCTTCTTTCCTTCAGTCCAATCTGGTAGCCTTTCTTCACAGGTCCCATGGTCATGAGGAGATGAAAAAGAACTGCAAGGGATTCCTCGTATGGAAGCACATCAGAACATGACGATAACACTCGGCGGGGGTTATGTGATGGCTATATATCATGAGTGTTTGCTGTCCACATCATGAATAGCCTCAACTCAACAAGCGTAGAGACTGACGGAAGTTTGTCTCCAGTACCATCGAGCAGAAATTGACCCCCGCAACAGCAGAGCTTCATGATGGCAGTGGATGAGCAAACATGTCGAGATCGCAAGCGAGCACCAATCAGGAAGTTTCATCTCAACCGGAGGCCATCGCTTTTAGATTGGAGTAGCGCTTCTTCGCCACAGCGACTGTAGCCGGTTTGCCCCGATTTGACGTCTCACAGCTCAACCTTCCACAACCCGACGACCCGACACAGCCACTGAGTCCGGACATATGCACCCGGATCTGATGAGTTCGTCCAGACGTGATATCACAGGCCTGGCATGTTAACGGACGGATTCAGTGGTATTCAATGAAGCGCAAACCTACAAATCTCGATGACGGCTCGTTCTTTTTGTATAGCGTAGATAGGTTGTGGTGCTACTTTTCAATACCTAGGTAGCTCTGCGGACCCCGGACCATCTACGAATTCCTCTGCCAGGCATCCACTTAGGGATCCAGCCTTCATGACGGCCCACTCTCCCATGTCAGATCGTTGGTCAAAAAAAAAGAACGCTCAGTCCCCTCGTTCCGCCAACGTGTGCGACCACCGATTTCGACATCCCCACCAGCAAGCTGTAGAGCCCACGCACAGAGTCATAAGTCGCCTCTCAGGCACACATGGAGCGACCGAATTCGTGGACTGTCAACGGGGATTATGAGAATGAGTAGTCTGTTGCTCTTCCTTGGATCAGTTCGACCCAGAAAGTCCGTCTGCCCTGCGTTGGACCTCACAGATGGTGCCCATCGATGGTGCCCACCGCACTGACGAAAGGCTTTGACCAAACATGTGTAGCAAGGCTTTGCTTCAGAGTCCACGGTCGCTGGTCCCAAGGCGCCGGCGAAACCGCCGTGCTGTCGTCGGCACGAGATGATTTCTTTTTTTCAGCTCGACGGATCTGAAAATGACTAAGGTGACTATCAGTATGGAACTCTAGCCTGGGCGCAATCTCTCAAATTCAGAGAAAAAAAAAGGTGTCATGCAGTATCTAGAAACCACAGTGGGCAAACCTGAACAGATCTATCCATACCTCCCATACGACTTAGTGAGTCCTCAACAAAAGCCAGCCAAGTCACAATGACTTGATATCGAGTCTCTGCCCAATCGCCTGACACAACGACAAAACCCAGGCGAGATCAACGACAAGACCCGTTCATGATAGAGACCTTCAAAGTCACCACTTTCATCAAGGAGTGTTCATGAAACGCGCTTAGTAGCTTCTAGCTACTGGTAGCTTCTTGTTGCTAAATAGATGCTTTGCCAAGGTCTTCTTTCGAACACAGTGCAGCCATGTGCAACCGCGCATCTGCTCCTTTCCCCACCGCTGGGGGATGTTTTTTGTGGGTGCCGTGCATGTGTGGCCCATTCTTTCCAACCTTATGAAACTTCTTAAAGGTTGACCTGGATGTATTGGAAGATCGAGGGTTGGTTGTTAGGATGGCAGGGAAAAACATGACGCATGCTTGTCAATCTGCTGGGCTCAGTTCTGGAAATGTCTAGCTGAGTCTAGCTTTGGAGTTTGACCTACAGTGAAAGCCTGTGTCCTTCGTGCGATGTCGGGAATATGGAAAAGAAACATGATAGCGCCCAGAACCATCGGCAACGGAAAACTGCCCATGGAACAGAGACCTTGTTACTACTAGTAGCTAGAAGCTACTAATTGCTACTAGTAACAAGGGCATTACTACTAGTAGCTTCTACCAGGCTCGGATCCAGAGAGCCCAAATCTCAGGAAGTGCTCTCGCTCAGCCCGGCCCACATGGCCTGAGGCCGAGATCTCCGACCTGGACGGTCCCACGAGATCTCACGACCCTCTCAAAAAAGGAGAAGAAGTGATGGAGTTTCTTGTTCCTAGTAGTAAGGCCAGGAGCCCCTAGTAGCGTTCTTGTTCCTAGTAGCGATGCCCTTTGCTCCTAGTAGTTTCTTGCTACTAAATGATGAATGATCGTTGCTTTTGTTTTCTTCACATGAAAGACGAATCATCACACATCTATTGAGTATGCTCAACAACATCCGGCAATCAAATCGCCCTAATTCAGCAATCAGAAAGCGATCAGAATGAAAGCCTTCCCCCACCTTCAGGACCATATCTCTCCTACACTTTCGACCGCCCCACCACGTTCCAAAGCGGCTACCAATTCCCCTCACTGCCTGGTGGTGGCGTCCGTCCGAAGGGTCCGAATGTGGGCGTTCTCGGTGCGCACATTTCGACTGACGTTCTCGTGGCCGAAAATCGGCGTCTGCCGGCTCCTTTTTTTACAAACAATGTTCGCTACTAGGAACAAGTGCATCGCTTCTAGTAACACGTGCCTTACTAGTAGTAACAAGAAACTATTAGAAACAATGTTCGCTACTAGGAACAAGTGCATCGCTTCTAGTAGCAAGTGCCTTACTAGTAGTAACAAGAAGCTATTAGAAACAAGGTTCGCTACTAGGAACAAGTGCAACGCTTCAAAAAACAAGTGCCTTACTAGTAGTAACAAGAAGCTATTAGAAACAATGTTCGCTACTAGGAACAAGTGCATCGCTTCTAGTAACAAGTGCCCTACTAGTAGTAACAAGAAGCTATTAGAAACAATGTTCGCTACTAGGAACAAGTGCATCGTTTCTAGTAACAAGTGCCTTACTAGTAGTGACAAGAAGCTATTAGAAACAAGGTTCGCTACTAGGAACAAGTGCATC